AGTGTGTGAATTTCTGCAGAAAAAATTGCTTTTCTACTTTGGAAATATTTTGTAATGCTGGCTACAGTACTTTTAATGTTACATATTTCCACAAAAAGCTTCTGGGATACAAAGACTGACCACCTTTGGGATGGAAATTCTATGAGGTATAGCATAGATCACCTTCCTCTTTATATATATTGCTAGTTGAGACCAATCTCATGCTCAGGTATACAATGATCAACACTAAATCAGTCACCTGCACTAACCACCCCACTTCAGCATTGTCGACACCCTGTTTTTCTTATCTCTCTGACATTATTTTCCTCAGGCCCTGAATGGAGTTTATCAACACAATATTTAAGACACCTGGATAAAACTGAACAGCCTATGACACCTACCGAATCAAAGTAGTATATTAGTTCTTTCTGCACCTATATTTTAATAATGATGAAAAAAAATCAGTAACAGCATAATAATGAGGAAAAGCAGTATCAAACATCCAGCAAGAATCCTTTCATAAATGGGAGCATAAGAGAAACACAAGAAATATTGTGGTTTTGAGTCAATAATCCTTCACATCTTTGAAACACAACTGCATTGCCAGTTATTCAAACTAGAAAAGACACTTTTTTCTCATGTTCTTCCCTCTGTCCCAACGCCCTCTATGTCAGATCTTCTAATGTATACAGGCCTCTCTTACGTGTTCTCAGTAAAACCTGTCTCAAAAGAGTCCTTGATTAAATGTAAAAAAAAAAAAAAAAAAAGTGAAAATATCAGGTAATATGATGTTATATAGTCACCTTTGAGAGATCAGCATCTGCTCTGATGATCTGACCAACAGTTACCCTGTTTCCTGGTTGGTTAAGTTTATAGAAGACAAGGCAACTCGTTGTCTGGATACTCAGGCCCTCTTGGCCTTTGCTGTCTCTGGTATGGAAACTGATCCTACTGCTAATGCTTCGAATGATCCTTCTCCTGACTGAAATTCAGTGATTTTTTCACATTCTCCTAAGATCATTAAGATCAATGTGGGGATGTGATTTTTGTTTACAATGTGTCGATTTACAGTTCTCTGGCAAAGCAAGGAACGTTTAAAATGGGGACATACATTACACCACCATGACAATATTAAAAGGCCTACAAGTCAAATACGAAATCGGGAGTGAAATTTTCCCAGGCAGTGTTTCCTCCTAAGAAAGACTGGAGGGGGATTGCTTGGGTTTCTTATTTGACATCCTTGCAGAGTAATGATAGGTAGCTTTTGGTCTATGCGAGAGGTGAGACAGTGCTCAGTAGGGAGGTGAAACTTCTCAGGTTTTGTAATTGGTGCAATCCTTTGATCTTGGTTCCTTCTAGTAACTGCTTTCGGTTAAATCAGCCCAAGTGATTAATATTTACTCTTTGATCTTGGCATAGCTCCAGATCTAAATGAATACTGATTCCATTGCTTTGCTCATCTTCTATCGTCTCCACTCAGTCTTCACCATCTGTTTCCATGACTGACATTTACAACCTCAGGAGAACAATAAAGCCAATCAATTCCTGTAAGGAGCCGAGACTCAAGCCTGTCTTTATGACTGTGATTTTGTTCTCTCCTGAGTATACTCTTCTCATTTCTTGAGTGCCCGGTTCTTTGCTCAACTTCTCTGCAACACTCAAGAATGACAGCCCCAGTAATGACCTGACTTTGTCCCCTTCAGGTTTTGGGGGACCTAGACCATGGAGAAAGTCCTTTTTTAATTATTTTTGCTCTTATCCTTTTCCTTCTGGTTCACGCTAATTAACAATTAAGACGAAGAGGAACTAATGCTAGAGTTCGTATACTTTTGCTCTATTTTTCCTCTCAAATAGCGTTGTCACTCCATCCCTGGGTTGCCACTGTTGATGGAAAAGAATGACAGTAAAAGAAAGAAATTGCATTTTCTTGTATTCCCTTCAAATAATATGCATAAAACTTAAATAAAAAATTGGTTTGCAATACAAATTATGTCAAAAATATATCTCAGAAAATCTGAAGCTTCCTACATATTATTTTTTCTCGTATTAGAAAAAGTCTCACTTCTTTTAAGAAAAAAATTTGCATGCAGAAAGGATTTTGAAAAATGAGCTTTCCTGAGGTAAGATATGCTATACTTATATTTTTATTGCATTTAAAATGGTCTAACTTGATTTTGGACAAAATCTACCCTGACTTTATCAAACACATTTTACTTCAGAAAAAAATGGTAACTAAAAAAACACCCCTGTATCATCATTTATTCTTAACTTTCTCTGTGAAGAATCTGCTATGGTACCACCAAAGTATTATAAAGGGCCCTTAATTTTACTTGCTTTCTGAATCATCTTTGGCTACTGACCTTTATTAGAGTTTTAGTAAAATTCTACCGAGGTTTAGTTTTGGGAAGCATAAAACATGTAAGGGTGTCCATGACCTTACAAATAAATATATACATTTTTAATAGATAAGAACTTTGAGACTGTATCCAGTGACCAGACTGCAGCTGAGTTTGTCTAATCAAAATAAAAACAGTACTGTTACTGAACAAGTTTGAGTACGAGTTGAGAACAAGTTTGAGGCCAGCTTTGGATGTATGTTATGACATTTCAAATACATAAAGATGCTTCCTGACACTGAAATATACTAAGAAAGCAGTACACGAAGTGCCTTGTTACTTGAAAAACCAATCACGCAAATATGAAAAACAGGTAATCAAAGTCTAAATGTTTAACACAATTAACAATTCAAACTCGTGATCGACTACTTTAGTCTGTGTTTTTATTTCTGAGAAACTAGTAAAACTCAAGTTCTTGGTAGCAATTTACTTTTATTTTTCTTCTGTGATTGCATAGAACTTACAGATTATCTCTCTTCCCATCCTTCCTGTCACTGATTTTGACAGGCACAAATGGCTAAGGAGAAGCATGCAATGCAGTTGTCAGCTCCAACAAGGTGCTGTGGAATTGTCTACGGGAATAGCTGTCAGTAACAACAGCAAAAAAAATAAACAAAAAAAAGTTTGTGTATTGACCAGTCATGGATCAGCTGTTAATGAAATAGGAATGTTTTGCTCTGATTTGTTAGCTACTCCTTCAACTCTCTTAAGAGTGCAGTAAAGACAGGTTTATTAAGGTGCAGGGTTTGGGTTTTTTGTTTTGTTTTGCAGAAAAATGTTTGTTATTTTCTGGATGCTGAAAACAATTCCTGGCTGCGTTGGTACTTAAAACACATCTCCCATACAGCTTCCCTCAAAGTGTTTTCCATTTCCCCTCCTTCTCAGAATCTTACTTCTGTTTATTTCTCTTTTGGAAGTCCGCTGGTATGATTCTACACAGTCACAACTTTCCACCCAATGATCCTTTGCAACTGCTTCACAGCCTGTTAGTTTGCTAGTAAAATTTACAAATAACTCTGAAATCGTGGAAGAAGTTAGCATTTGCTTCCTTTGTGGGAGAGAATGAACTGATGGAAAATTTCAGAAGCTTTCTTATGATCTCTAGAGCAGACAAATTTACTACTAATTTGCTTTGGTTTTGTGTACATATTTTGGAGGGTTTTTGTAGTTTAGCAGTGAATGGAAAAGGCAGCCATGCTAATTAACTTTTTACATAATTCACATCATGCATGTAATTATCTAGGGCTTGCTAATTTAAAAAGCTGCTTGCTCTTGACTTCTACCCTTCATGTTTTTTTTCTGTCATGATCCTTCCACTCCTAATTGTAAATTGCCACCCTGAACTGCTTTCCATCTTCCCTTTTAAAAAAACAAGAAGAAAACGCCCACTGCAGAAAAAACACCTTTGATTTCAGTTACATGTTTTGTTCAGCTCTATAAATGACCATTCTTGAGGTTTGTCTATTGATTAATGAAAAATGAAAGGCATTTTTCACTGTACTGTGAAAACAATCAGACGGAGTAATGACAGACGAGTTTCCTGCCTTTCCAAAGACACTACATGGCTCCTTACTGGCCGTATCGTGGCAGAAGGCCACCAGGAATAAAAGAGATACGGCAGACATGAATTCCTTGCCTTTCCACAGGAAATACATTGTCTCTAACTTGTATTTGCTGTGACTGTCATAAAAATATATTTATTTACACTGTTCCAGTGTTTCTAAAACACATTTTAATTGGGGTTGTATGCCACAGATAAGATCTTCAAAGCCAGAATGACATTACATATCCGTACCCTACCAAATTACTTCTATTCTCCTTCTCTGGAGATATTCAAATTCCCCCCAGACGCATTCCTGTGCAACCTGCTCTGGGTGAACCTGTTTTGGCAGGGGGTTGGACTGGATGATCTCCAAAGGTCCCTTCCAACCACTGCCCTTCCGTGATTCTACTCTTCACTGCAGATTTACTCAAGACCCATGGAAGTATCTCCATCAACTTTTTTTTTTTTCCCCTCAAAAACAATGTTTCCTTGAGGAATGCCAAGCTACTTAATTGCACTCCCCACTTTCTCAACTATGCCCTACGCTTCCCTATTTTTTTTTCCTTCCCATTTCCTCGCTTCATCAGCCTTTCCTCAAGGCAGAGCTTCATTAACACAAGCTATGATGCCAGGTGAGGTGTGCCCACCCGAGGGGCCTGTTCCGCTCTGCTCAGAGAGGGGCACCCACGCCCCCAGTCGCCCCCTTTCTCGAGGGGAAGGGAGGCTGAACCAGCGCTCCCCCTCCACGGACGGGCCCCGGGGCAGCGTCACATCCCACTCCCCGCCCGGGGCTGGGCGGAGGATCCGCGGCCGGGACCCACGTCGGGGCAGCCCCTCTGGCGGGCACGAGGCTGCACCCAGCCGTGGCGTCACGGAGGCTGTGGTGCCGCGCGCCCGCCTGCCCGCCGCTACAGACCCTCGGAGCGGGGCGCGCGCGGCCGCCCCCCGCCCCAACGG